AATAACCCCCGTGACACGTGTTCAATGCATGGGATTAATTTAAAATAGAGCGCCGACGAACTTCACCGATTCCACAAAATACTACACTTTCTTGGATCCCTTTTTGAGATTGGGTCTGAGCAACACTCGGGAAGAGAGCGATTCGTTTTGAGAGAAAACGGGTGCGTTTAAATTGTTACTGATGTAGCGTGGTGCATGGTCCTCATACAAAACTAAATAGCCAATCAGGGTCGGATACTGAGACTTACTATCAACTGGCCGTTTTTTCACCCGCCCGCCGACGTAGCAGGCACTACGGTGACACCCGAACAACCAGGAAATCGCAAAACAGGCAACTGAAAACAAAGGGCTGGTTAAAGTCATCAACCTCCATGCAACTAAGATGTCGCTATCACCGCAAACCCAAGAATTGTCCACATCGAAGCATCTGGAGCGATGCTAATGCAATTCTTAACAAACACGGAAGTTAGGTTGCGTTCGTAACGGCTACTAGGGATGACTTCCTTTCAACGTGACATATTCACGTAGCAATTTAATGCGTCTGTAGTCAAGTCTGAATGAGAAAAAAACGGTTGATTTTATGTTGTACGGGGACTGCGGGGGTCTCGCAATATACCTGCATCCGAGGAAGACGGGTTGTTCACCCGGAGCCGCAGACTCGGATACTTTCTTTAAGGAGAGCACGTGGTTGATGGAGAGTACGGTTGCTGCCACGAACCAGGGGATGCCGAGAAGGGAATTTGTGGCCATAGTAATAGCGACAATAAGCAGATCCAAGTGGTATCCTTCACCTTTCTGTAGCACACATAAATTTGACAATGGAAAGGAGTAAAGGTTTAGCGGCAGGTAAAGCAACCTGATGTCAGAAATCATAATTATTTGCTAAACAAACCTTACTACCATCAAATTTCAAGTAGAAATTTTAATGACAACCAGAAGACGCACCTTAAGCTTATTCTCCCGACGATTTATAATCACAGCAGTGATTTGTTGATCCATGAAGATGAGGATTACGGCCAGAAGAGCCGGTCCAAATGCAAAGAGAGCAGACCACCAGGGATTTCCAGCGAATGGAGGAATGAGCCAAGTACGCTTCTGGAAATGGGAAAGTTTGTCGGCTTAATATAAAGATAAAAGAAAAACGACTACAACAATGAGGAGAAGTAAGTTGCAAAGCGGGAGCGTGACCCGTGACAACGCACCCCATATCCCAAAGTTGGCTCAAAGTTTTCCGGAACTCGCAGTTTGGGAGTATTGAATCCACAGAAGTAGTCCACAAGGGTGCATATTATAATGGCAATCATGACGGCGAAGTCAGCAATCAGAGACCGAACCTAAAAGGAGATAGTATACAAAGACGTTAAATTGGCCTACGGGCTGAGAAACAAAAAGACTGTTGCCTGACAAGCAAAGGACTGGTAATGCTAGGAAAAACAAGGCTGCTCAATTGCCAGAATCACTCATTTTTATTCATCTGGAGTCCATCATCCGATATCGCTGCGACCAATTTATACGGAACGGCTGTCCAAAGGCATTGACAGGCAGATGCTCATGTCTTCGCCACTTGCTCTGACAGTAAGAAAAAGTTGAGATCGGCACGGGCGCCGTGACCAACGGTGCTAAACAGTCCGTCTACACGTCCAACGCATAAACCCGAGTTTCCACTCTACAAGCGGCAGGTTATAAAGTGAGAAGGCAGTACAGCCGGACTCTTAGTCCTGAGAGAAGGAGGATTGTTATTCCTTTGGTTGATAGCTTTTCAAACCACAACTGTTCGCGCGTCAGATGAAGCACAATGAGGAGGGAAAGGGAGGGAGCATCGATGTGGTGGGTGGATGGACTCCTCGTGTTGGCCTCGCACATTCTCTCGTCCACCGCCTGAAACTGCCAATCATCTGTTAACGAGATGAAGCCCTTCGCATGGTGTGACA